GTGGGCTGCCACCTGAAGGTGCTTGGCTCCTTTGTGGCACATGAGGCACTCCACCCAGAAGACGGCTTGGTTGAGGGGCTTCACTGGCTGCCCGTGGGTTAATTCTTGATAGTTTCATGGCATTCTCCTTATAGCTGAAGATAGACATAAAGGAGAAATACAGACACAAACATTGGAGACCAATTAATTTGCTGAAGGTCATCAAGCCTATGAAAGGTTATTTGAAAGCACCATGAAACTGAACAAATGCCATAGGAGAGCAGCAGGCACAGTGAGGCTTTGGTTAGGGCATGTTAGAAAGTTGGGCTGTAAGTTTATATTTTCTGATGGAGATGTTCTTTCAAAAGCAAAAGATTCTGGGAAAGTAAATAATTTCTAGCAGAGTAAATGGTAATCAGCCACCCCTAGACTTAAAGTAGGAGAGCTGAATGCAATTTAAAACTGATCTGCTTGAAGATTTGAAGAGGGATTGTGCCATGAAAATCTTTAAAATATCAATAAAAATCCTTTCATTGATTAAAAAGGGGAAAAAGTTGTAAAATCAACACTTTCCCCTCCAGAAAGAACATGTAGGGCTGTGAATATAGGTCAGTGAATGGATGTTTGCTTACCAGGTTCAGGGATCTGGATTAACCCTGAGTACTGCAAAACAGACAAACCAACCAACCAACCAACCACCAACCAACCAATTCCAAATAAAACAAATGGCCCCAAGGATACAGAGGAAGTGGAATTATTTTTCTTCGTTTTTAAAACATCTATTTATTTATTCACTCATTTTGTGTGTGTCTGTGTGGTGCATGTACATATCACGCATGTGGAGGTCAGAGGACAGTTTGTGAAAACAGGTTCTCTCCTACTACCTGGGTCCTTGGGATCAGACTCATGCCTAGTGGCAATTGGCTTTACCTGCTGAGCCATCTTCCTTGCTCCAGGAGATGCAATTCTTAGTGGCCTTTGTTTGGAGTATAATTTAGAGCAGACACTAAGAATAAGAGCAAAGAATTTGCTGAAGAAACTGAAAGTAGAATTTCCCTAGGTTTTAGCTTTCTCTAGCAATCTATTCAGAGAAATGGCAAACAATATGTCAAAGTAATGCTTGCAGTTCTATATATTTTGTAGCACTTGCCATGATAGCCAAGAACTGGGATTGTCTGAGGTGACTGTTGTAAGTTGATGGATAAAGAAAACATGGTATGAAAATTGTACATGATGTCATCTCGTCATTTACAATTGCAAGAATGGACCTGGCAGATATTCTGTTAAGTCAAACAAAATAGGCCCCTCAAGGAAAACACAGCACATTCGCATCAATGTGTGGAGCATGATATAGCTCATTTCACTTAGTGGCCTTTGTTTGGAGTATAATTTAGGGCAGACACTAAGAAAAAGAGCAAGGAATTTGCTGAAGAATCTGAAAGTAGAATTTCCCTAGGTTTTAACTTTCTCTAGCAATCTATTCAGAGAAATGGCAAACAATATGTCAAAGTAATGCTTGCAGT